CCAAGAAGAAACCAACACCCGCACAGGTTTGTATTTATCATAAAAATCTTACTAACATTATATCTTATCTTACTAATATTATAAATGCGAAAGTTTAGATGTGTGTTTGTTAGAGTTTGTAGCCTAAAGTACTGTATCCATCTTGATGAAATTTGGTATAGACGTAGAGGATAGTCTGGAACGCATAGGTTACTTACTTTTGTTTTTTGTAACATGCGGACGGAGTCGCGGACAAAAGCTATATCTATATATTTCCTCTTATAGGATAAATCATTCATTAAACACTTCATTAGAAAGATACATTGATACAAGGTTCGACACCTCTGACATTGAGTAAAGTATTGTTAAATAAAAACTAATTTAACATAAGTTTTCTCAAGAAGAAAAAGACTACCGAATGGAATTGTTTATAATTTCGTTTATTTTTTCCAATATAAAGTAATGGAATTCACAATCTTTTGGTGACGTCTTACTGTCCCATTAACAGATTGTATTATATGTATAGTTTTATATCTCGTCCACAGCCGCCGCAGAATGCGACGAAACCGCAAACGCAACAAGTGGTGCAGAAACCGCAACAAACAAAACCGCAACAACCGAAACCACAACAAAATCAACAACCGCAACCACCTACTAGTAAGTGATATGTAACTTTTTATGATTTCAGAAATGGATAATTTCTTAAAAATTAATAAAAAAATACTCGATCTTACTTCTTACTAATATTATAAATGCAAAAGTTTAGATGTATGGATGTTTGCTAAAGTTTGTAGCCTAAACTGCTGAACGGATCTCGATGAAATTTGGTGTAGATGTAGAGGATGGTCTAGAAGAACATTTAGGCTACTCACTTTTTTTTTAATTCCACGCGGACGGAGTCGTGGGCGAAAGTTAGTAACTAAATATTTGAAATAAGATATTCCAGTTTATATTATGCGAAATAATATAGATGTATATAAAATGCCTATTCCCATTTGGTTTGATAAAACCCTAAGTAAATATTACTAATGTAAAACAGTCTGGAAAAACACATAGGCTACTTATTTTTTTTATTTTCGTGCCGACGGAGTCGCGTGAAAAAGCTATCATCTTTGTTTTTTATCCAGATGCGGAATCAAAAGCAGGCGGTAGCAAGCGGTACAGCAGTTTGAGACAACGACCACTCGCTGAGACTTATTCGCCGCAACAAACAACGCAACCGCAACAACAACCACAACAACAACCACCACAACCACAACAACCACCACAACCTCAACCTCAACAACAACCGCAACCAACACCACAGCCGACACAACAGCCGCAACCAACACAACAACCTCAACCGACGCAACAAAACCAACAACATAGATATCATCAAGGTATTTTGTAATACTTTACTAGTATATGTCGTCTAGTTATTCTTAGAGTCGGTACTTGGTCATTATGGAGCGTCTTAGTGTTAATTAAAAAAATAACTATGCAAATGAAATGTTTGTAACATCTAATCTCAAAAACTACCAATCTTATTTTAATATTTGTTTTTGTAATACGTAGCTGGATTATTAATTAAGGTTATAAGTTATTTACCGTCACACATTACCCGTAAGGTGACCGGCAGTAGCAAAATTAACATTTTCTAACGTTTTACAGAATATCCAGGAAATGGTCCGAACTCTCAGCATCAGGGCAGCCCTGTGCCGCAAATGCATCCGCAACAATTATTGCATCAACCACCTTTAAATGTGAGTACATTACTGAAATATCCACATATCCTAAAATCTTACCATTATCATATTTTTTGTACAATAAGGTAGCAAAGTGGCCACCTAAATACGCCACAATGGCGAAGCGACCGCTGCCCATAGACCGGAATTGCAGATGCGTTGTCTACTCTTCATTGTCGGAGGAGGAGACGCACATAAACAGGATGTTTCCCATTCCTATGAGTCTCCTTCATCGTCAAATCCTCTTTCCCATTCTTTCCTTGTACAAAAGGGGGAAAGGGAAAGGGGCTTAAATTGGCCGAAAGTTTGGATGTATGGATGTTTATTAAAGTTTGTAGCCTAAACTGCATAATGGATGTTGTCAAATTTTTGCACAGATATTCTGGAAGAACAAATACACTTTTCTTATCTTTAAAGTCCACGCGGTATCGCGGGCGAAAGCTAGTATTAGTATAAATCTAACTGTTATTACTGTTTTTAGGTGCATCGTAATAATGTGAGTCAGCCGCACGGGCCCTCGCCGCCGCACCAGCCCCTGCAGCCGCAGCACTCGCAACAGGTACAACAACGAACAACCTGTCACTTCCACCAACAACCTGTCACTTCATATAACGACAACCTCTCACTACATCAAACTATAACCTCTTACTTAATAGATAAAGAATGTTAGAGTAATCTCACTTCCTCGGCTAACAACTTGTTACTGTAATAAGTAACAAGTTGTCACTTCTAATAACAACTTGTCACTTCATCTAACAACCTCTCACTTCATCTAACATTCATCAATTAACTTGTCTCTTCATCGACTAACAATCCTTCAATTCGTCCAAAAAGGAATTGTTACCTTATCAAATAACAACCTGTCACTTCCGACAACTTGTCACTTTCGATCAATATATCAGGAACTAATGATTAACCAGATAACTCTATACTCATTTTATTGTTTTTTTTCCATAAAGCTTTTGATACATAGTCGTTACTTTTATCTCCATACAAATCCATACATTTTGCCTTCCAGGTGAGACTCGGCATATTAGAGCAAGGTCCGCAAATGGTCTCCCATCCGCACCACTCCATGCACAATATACCTCCGCAGCAGCATATAGGTGAGTTAGTTATTGCTCGAGATTTTGTCTTCGTTAGGTTAAAAAAATAATAAAAAATGCAGCCTATATTATCATACTAATATTATAAATGCGAAAGTTTAGATAGATGGATGGATGTTTGTTAGACTTTGTAACCTAAACGGCTGAACCGATTTCGTTGAAATTTGGCATAGATGTAGAGGATAGTCTGGAAGAACATATAGGCTACTCACTTTTGTTTTTTTTAATTCCATACGGACGGAGTCGTGGGCGACAGCTAGTTAAGTAATAATGTAGCTTGTAAATGGAGAAAGAATTTTTTAAATCGGCCCAGTAGTTTTTGAGTTATTTTAATACATATATAAATCTTTCCTCTTTATAGTAATACTAGCTTTTGTTTGTGACTTTTTTCGCTTGAAGTTAAAAAATAATATAAAAATATAGCCTATATTACAGATAAATTACCTCTCTAATGATGTAATATTTTTTAAATCGTCCCAGTAGTTTTTACGTGAATCAAATACGTACAAAAATTACAAATCTTTCCTCTTTATTATATTAGTATAGACTAGTTGTTGCTCGGGTTTTCGTCCTCGTAAAATAAAAATGCCTATCTTACTGACTGATGACGTAGGTATATATTGGTAAAAGAATTTTTGAAATCAACCCAGTAGTTTTTGAGTTATTATAATATATACACAAATACAAATTTTTTATCTTTGTAATGTTAGTATATATGAGTTATTTATATATTCTGATAAATGGTTTTCTTGTTATTTCAGGACAAATCCCCCCCGCACAAGGCTACGCGCCCCCCGCCATGATGCCCGCACAGTATATGCAGGTAAATACATTAAATCCTTACACAGTATTAAATAAAACGATAATTTTGTAATCTCTGTTTACCCTAGCAAAGTGGTAGCGGCGCGGTGTTCGGTGGTGCGCCGCTCTATGCGCAGCCTCCCGCTGCCTACCCCCATCAGATGTACCAGCATCATAATTATGTATGTAAATTATTTTCTTTTAAGTATATCTATAATATTATAATAAAGCGTAAACACACACTTCTTTGTAGCCTAAGATGTCAGCAATTACAGCATATTTTTTAATAATTATTTCTTTGATAAAAAGCCCTACACTTGAATCACGCTTTAGGATATATAATTTCACGCCATTAAACTTAGGGGTAAATGTTTTGGATAAAAACCCTAATGTGGGAAAGAGACCATAAGTTGTTGCCTATTAAGTTTAATGGCGTGTAAAATATATATCCTAAAGCGTGACGTAAGTGTAGGTCTTTTTATTATAAAAAGTATTATTCAAAAATATGCTGTAATTGCTGACATCTTAGGCAACAAAGGAGTGTGTGTTTACGCTTTATTATAATAGTATAAATTGCTGACATCCTACGCCACGAAGTAGTGAGTGTTTACTTTTTATTATAACAGTATAGAGTAAAGATTGGCTATTGATATATTGTTTATTAACTACTAGCTTTCTCCTGCGACTACGTCTGCGTGGAATTTTAAAAAATAAAAATGAGCCTATGTTTTCGTCCAGACTATCTAAGTATATGTAAAGTTTCATGGATATCCGTTCAGCAGTTTAAGCTACAAAGTAACAAACATCCATCCAAAGTTTTTCATTTATGTGTGATCAGACGCAGGCTGGCGGTGTGACGTACTACAACTGCGCGGAGCAGGAGCCGCCGCCGCCGCAGCCGCTGCGCGCGCAGCGCCGCCCCACCGCCGCCATACCCATCGTGCGGCCGCACACACACACACACACAACGCATACAACACATACAACACATACAACACATACACCTCATACTGCGAACGTGAGCAACACCGCGCCACCAGACAGGTATGTGTCCTAACTACTAAAGGTTTAGTAGACACTAGATTCAATTCGAATTTTCATTGAAAGAAATAAAATTAACAGAAAATGAAGGAATTTTCTTTGGACGAAAAAAATACAGAAAATGATTTTTTTTTATCTGAATCCGCCAAAATGGCGAAGCGACCGCTGCTCATAGACATCCGGAATTGCAGATGCGTTGCCTACCCTTATCCGACGGAGGAGACGCACATAAAGAGGATATTTCCCCCTCCTATGCATCTCCTCCACCGTCAAATCCACTTCCCCTTCCCATCCTCTCCTAATAAGAAAAGGACGGTAAAGAGAAAGGGACTTAAATGAGGCCTCCGGCACCACACTCATCAGAAACACGGAATTGGTTCCATTTCACGCCTATCTTCTGTGTGGTGGTGGTATTACTGGGGGCGAGCCCTGCACTGCTAACATGTTAAAGCGGGAACTACGACTGTCAAAATTGGTTTCTTACTAATGTTATAAATGTGAAAGTTTGCATGTATGGATGTTTCTTACTGTGTATTTCCAAAGCGGTATTTATATAGAACAGAGTGGAAAACTCGACTGCTAAGTAATATTTTTTTTCACAGACCGGTTAATTCAACAGAGAAAGATAATATAGATAGAATTGTGGAGAATATGTTCGTAAGAAAGCCCTGGCCTGCGCAAGGCTCTGGTAAGTTGAAAAACTTTTTTTTGACAGTTAACTAGCGAAATGATGCAAAAAAAACTTTTTTCCATTCTCTTCAAACATCTACAATATTCAAAGGTCTTTTTTGACAGACTTCCCAAAAGGAAGTAATCAATTCGTCTGTGTTTTTTTTTTATTTTTGCCTTAACACAGTGATTCTCAAATATTGCAGGTTTTTGTGTAAATGGGGGTTCAAACATTTTTTTTTAATTAAACGTTTACGGAATCCTACTGCATTGTATTTTAAATTTTTCTTATAAGACCCTATTTTTTACCAGCATGAGCCTTTAAAGTAGTGAAAATTAGGGGGTTCATCAAAATAGTAAAAATTTGAAAGGGGTCCACTACTAGGAAAGTTTGGGAACCTCTGCACTAAAGAAATGAACCACTTCAAATTGTGTCACGAAAAATCAAAAAATACATTTTACTTTTTACTAATATTATAAATGCGAAAGTTTAGATGGATAGATGGATGGATGGATGTTTGTTAGAGTTTGTAGTCTAAACGACTGAACGGATCTCGATGAAATTTGGCATAGACACAGAGGATAGTTTGAAGAACGCATAGGCTACTTTAATTTTTTTCTAAATTCCTCGCGGACGGAGTCGCGGGAAAAGCTAGTAATGTATGAAATTTAGTATACTTTTTTTAATCAAGTCAGTTTTTTTACAATATGAGGACTAAATTATTTTAATTTTCTTGCTAAAGATTTCTTTTGGGCGAAGCTTCAACATGCATATAAAATGCGACTTTGGCTCAACTCTAGATTTCATCACAAGATGTAATTCATGAAAAGTAAACAAGTTTTTTGAACCAAGGAGGAACGGTTTTTAAGTTTGAATTTTATGTACGTCTGTAAAATTACTTAAGAGAGATGTATTTTAATAGTAGTTTGATGTTATTTTGTGGTACTTTTAGTTGGTTTTAGTTGATTTTATTATTGAATCAAAAAATTAAGTTCGTATAAAATCTAACTTGGAATATAAACATCTTTATTATATAGCTTTTACATAATAAGTTTGTTTTCACGTTTTTCCACAATATAAGGATGGCTTTTATATTTCTATTCAGATTATAGATTTGATGTCGTTTTTAGATTAATTTACAAGACGTAAAAACTAAACATATTTGAAAATAGTAGAAATGTAAAAATGTCTTTAAAAATATAAGTAAAAAACTTTTGTTAATATAATTTTGAAAAAATAAAAACTTCGGAAAAATATTGTAAAATATAGTTTTAGTTGAGGTTAATATACCGACTTCCCAAAAGAAGGAGGTACTCAATTCGTCTGTATGTTTTTTTTATATATTAAATTTAATAAGTATGAGAAATATACTGGTTAATTAGATATAGCTTTATGTTAGAGTCGGGAGTTTTCATTGTACAGTCAGATGCCTAAATATCTACATTTACAAAACTTTAAAACCTCGTATACATTTGTTTTAAAATTTTTGCTCGTATTCGTTAATGTATTTTTTCAGTGTAATAACGAACACAGAATTTTATGAAGTTTTGTAAATGTAACATACTTTTGCAGCTGACTGTACTTCAATATTGAATTAATTCACAGAACAACCAAAAGATAAAACACAAGAGAACAGAAGTTCGCAAGAGCCCGCCAGTAAAGAATCGTCACAGCCGAACAGTCTCACATCCAGTTCTACTTCTGATAAGCCGGAGAGTATACAGAAGGAGACAGAAGATAAGACGGAGAAGGTCGCAGAAGGTGACGTCACGGATAGTATAACAACGGATGCCTGACTGGTAAGAATTAAGTTGTATGAATGTTATCAAAGTAAATTTTATACTCCGAGATAGTTTTTTTTTAATTATGAAAGTGGACACACATTTTTTTCACATAAACCCAGTGTTTTTATTTATCTGTTTGAATGTGGATAAATTACGGAAAAGTGTGTAAATTATAGTTTATGTATGGTTAATGATAAAAAAATAGTTTTATTTTTTTAGTTAGAAAAAATCGATTACAAAAAATGGGTAGAAAAAATAGGTTAAAAAATTGTGAATAAAAATGTCACGTGTTAGATATATATTGAATCTTATAAAATATTTGTAATCGCACAAATCTATAGTCAAATTAAATAATGTTGTAGTTTTTTTTTTTCAAAAAATTATGTTTTTTTTCAAATGTGTGGTCACTTTCATCGGTCACATAGACTTCTATTTGGCTGTGGTAAATTCCTGTGTATTTAAAATTTTTCATATTAAATAATGGTATCATAGTTTTTGAGGACAATCTTTAAAATGTGTGAAAAAAATATTTTCGTCTTAAAATTAGTCTTTATTAGGTTGGAATCGTAGATATATAATCTATAGATGAGCGTTAGGAGAGGGAAGAGGAGATATCTCCTCCCTAAATTGAAAAAATTCAGAAAGTATTTCGTTTCATTTTTGTACTCTTACGCATCTATAAGTTATATATCTACGGTTATCGTAGCAATGTTGTGTCAATGTTCCAAGTTAAAAGTACATTTTTTGAAATTTATATATATATGGAAACACCAATTTTTTAGGATTTAGGGAAACTTGTGTAGCGTGAATTGTAATTGTAGAACAATATTAAAGTCAGCCAATAAATAATATGTCAGAATAGTTATGTGTTAAAAAGTAAATTAAGCACATAATAGACTTAGGGACCGTCCCGCCACTGGCTGATAGAGGCTCAGATAGCTTAAAAATGTCACTGTCAGATAAGGTAACAAAATCCGATATTTTCATCACATATTTTACATGTTGGTTATTAGACAATTTACTATTTGGTGGGACAGGCCCTTAAGATTGTTAAAATTTTATCACTGCTATCGAAAAATCTCGAAAATCGTAATGGTAGTCAATGTGTTGCTATTACTTAAAATATGTAGCAATAATATTAAATAATTCGAAAGGATTTTTTGTGAACGATAGATTTTTAAAATAAGCAATAACTTTGTGCCTAAATGTTGTTTATTAACTATAATAAAATCAAAATACTTAGAGCTAGTCCAAGCAAATAAAAGAATGATGTGAAAGTACATAATGATTTCTTTTTAATAATCGTGGAGATTTTTCGCTTGATTTTTTTAAACAACACCGTGGATTTATTTTTTGTCGTGGCAATTTCAAATGCTTATGTGTATATTTGTTCAGCTACCCTCGCTTTTGCTTTTTTTTGCCTTGACAAAAACTAAGAGTAAAATAAAAAAAATGACTATTAAAGTTTTTGACTACGTAGCAATTTTACGAAAAAAAATCATAGAAAAAATTTGACTTGTATTACCTGACTCCAGAATTTTTTTTTCAATATTATTGATTTACAGGAATTAATGGCACATTGACTTTTTTTGCTTTATTTTTAAATATATTGAACAAAAAATGTTGTATCAAAACTTTTTTTTTGTAACTCAAGTAAAAAAAATATTTTTTTCGACTAGTCCTTAATTAAGTACTATAATTAAAATCATATATTGGTAAAAGATGTATTTAAAAAACTTAAGAATTACATAAAAACTTAACTGGCAATTTAGTTATGTTCACTGAGAATATTACATTTGTAGAAAAATATAAAAAAAAATCATAAAAAAATTAAAAGCTTTTGTATAAACTGTGCCGGTTATTTATTTATATGGAATAAATATTGAAAAACCCTATAATTGTGTTTTATTTGTTAATCATCTTATATTTACTGCATTGACACCTGATTTTTTAAATCAAATTAAAAAAACAAATGTACCCTTTACTCTGTGTACTAAAAAAATAGTAAAAAAAATCCGGTATCAAATTTGAAACTTCAGGCATTTTAGTTGTTAGCAACCCCAAAAAAAATCAGCAATTTTTTTTTTAAAAAAACATAAATTAACTTGTGTTTCTTTTTTTTATTATATGTCCCCATGTTCCCTTATTTTATTGTTTTACCATTGATTAGGGTGTCGGAAATAAAAAATGTTTTAAGTACAAATATTTATTATCACAAATAAATGTGATTTGTTAATCTCTGCCTTACACACAATATAATACAATCGCAGTTTAACAAAATACATTTTTTATACCGGGAAATATAAAATTAATTGTGTGTGACACTAATTGTTTTTAAAGGAAAAAGAACTATTTTGGAATTACACATTTATTTAACTTGTAACATTCAGTGATAAAATGTTGCCATCAAAAAAAACTTAGAGGAAAAAAATAGTCAATTATGATGATTCTTAAATAATCTCTCGTTTTTACCCTAAGATGTAGAAAGAGATAGACATAGTCGGTTTTGTTAATTCTGTCTTATAGTAAGACGACTGAATTTTAAATACAAATTTTCATGGCAACTTTTTTTGTATTCAGATTTTTCTAGGTTATGGCACATATAGTTTTTTTTACATAATAAAAATGACTAATAAAAAAACTATAAATTCGACATAGCTCCTAGACAATGTCTAAAAAATATTGAATACAAATTAAACATTTAAAATGGATATTTTGGCTTTTTTCATAGATACAGAAAAACCCTTGTCACGGAAACTAAAAAAAAATCTTAAAACAAAAATTCACTAAATAAAACTTACAACTAAACAATCATGAGCAAATGACATTGAAAATTCAAATAAAATAACCGTTAAAACTCATACGTGATTCGTCTCCACTACTTTTTCCCCTTTTTTTCTCTTCTTTCCTTCTAGATCCGCGTAAATGTCTTCTAGACTTCTCATTTTAGTCTCTGGGACGCAGAAGATGAGATAGAAGACGTTCGATAGACAGATAAAACTGAACACCCAGAATGTAGAATGATATCCAATCCATGTATTTAGAGGTGCGAAAAGTTTTAATAACGCGAAATCTGTACCGAGAGATATCGCCATAATGAGCGTCGCTACGGTGCCACGGAGCTGAAAAACAGACATAATTATTTTTTTTTATATATCGCATTACTACTGTCAAGTATTCCTAGAAAGGTGCTACATGACTTGTTTTTTTTTTAATAAATAAATTAGTAAATTTGTTAGCTAACATTTCTTTTCACAATTCCAGGTAAGCTTGTAAAGGACACGACAATAGAATGCTGGAATTCGAACCCTTGACCTTAAAATCGGTAGTCCGTACCCCAAACATTTAGGCAATTGGCAATTTAAACCTCAAAAAATATTTTAATTATCGTTGTATTCTAGCTCTTTCCACTTTATGGGATAATTAGAAAATATGCTTGTCCTCTAAATTGATATATCGTTTATTTAAGTTACTCAGTTCTTAATAATACTTATTGTTTACGTAATTCATTCATCTTTAGCCAGCTACATACGCAAAGTTCGAATTCAACGGTGGAACTGTTAAATTGAAAAAATTTAGCTGTCAATTGAACTATATAGTGTTATAACGCAACACTAAATCAACCCTTACCGAACAAAACACGATCTGTCAAAAACACTATTGCTATCTCTTTTTGTCATAGATGTGAGGGGGATGGCAATATTCTGGTTACTTCACCGCATATTCACAGTGGTAGAGCCCGCTTTAACATTGCACTGCAGGGCCGGCTCGCCCTCAGCAATACCACACACAAGACAGGAGTGAAGTGCTCGTGTT